GATATAGATAACATGTTGTTTTGTATTTACAAATTTAATCAATCTTGTCCAGTCAAAGTTAGTAGCATTTCTGCTCTCCAAATAAAAGTTTCATCAGACAGTGGTTTGTCCAGTAGTCATAGAGATATGCAAGTCTTCCACAAAGTTGTGAAGCAACATGCACACAGACCCAAACCGTTGTCCTTGCAGAAAAACTGCTTGCAAGTCTTAAAAAAAACCCAAAAAAACTACTTGGCCCAAATAACTATGGCTCTCTTTGGGTTAGGCCTTTGTCCCACAGAACATTTCGTATCCATGGTTTTGCAAGCAATGCCTCTGAGGAGTAATGGCAACCCGACACGGTTACAGTCCCATTCACAGAGCGGACAACTCCCTCCATTTAAACAGCCAGCAGTTGTTGGCACAGGTTGGCATTGGATTGTGTCTCCCAATTACATCCCAAATGCCTTAAAAGATGAATGACAGGCCACCCTGAGGCCTCGGCCTATTCGGACTGTAAGTGATGAGCCAAGGGAAAAGTTTCAACAAAGAGCTGATCCATAATTCTTTACCAGACAGAGAAAACAATGTCCATAGGAATGTCACTGCTCTGTAAGAAAGATTTAATCACTATACATTTGAAACTTGGTTTGAAATCCATAGTGTTAAGGCAGGAAACATTTTAAAACAAGAAGCTTTATTGATGATTTCAGACCAGTGAGGTCAATGCTGAGAGTATACTCTCACATGTTTTGTAGCCAGTAGTGTCAAAAACAGCCACCAGTTATGTACTCGTATTGCCCCGTGATGAAAGAAAGCCTTTGATGCATTTGTTTCGCTCCAGCACTCTGCAGACCAGGAAACAAATCTTTTTTTGATAGACCCAAGCCCAGGCTCTTGGGAGTTTCGACATTGCATCTACATGTTTGGTTTACCTGAAGATCCCAAGATGTAAAGCCCGCCGGACATGTGCCTGTCGTAGAACGCATCCTGCTGTCGCATTTCCGCTCATAGTTTGGGCGGCTTATCTTAAAAAATTATCAATATCAGCTTTGAACGGGGATTTATTTGAATTTTCATTCATTTTTCTTCCTCCCACAGCCCAGTGCTAGAGGAAACATGTCATTACCCATTGGTTGTGAGCATTATGTTTGTTGCTCTTTTCTCGAAATCTCTTATCAATTTTGAAAACTTAAAAAATAAATAAATAGACAGATAACTACTACCTTTGAAAGTAACTTATTGAGGGGTATTTTTGTTTATCAAAGACCCAGTCTTTATGTACTTAACCATAAACTGAAGCTCAACATGTTTCTTTGTGGATTTCTTATTTTATTATCTTCAAATTTGACTCAACTCCACTAGTCAAGTTAAATTCTGTTTTTTTCTCTGTTGTTTACAAGTGTGTTTAAATTTCTGAGTGATCTAACAGTCATCCTCATTAAACCAAAAACAAAGGCGCCTTTGTTGGAGTTTTATCATTCACTGGTTAAATGACTGATTCCATAAGACGAGAGCGTGACATTATTGAGTTCACAAAAATAGAGGATTCCCTTCAAAGTGACAAAAAGATGTCCTGAGAAGAGAATTAGCTGTACAATGGTGGGTAATGAAGTCATGACTTAGCAGGTGAGCCTACGTGCATGAGGGCGCGCACCAGCTGCTGGGTGTCTCATTGTGAACAGGTGAATTTGAGCCGCCAGTTGAGTCAGGTGAAAATTAGATTGGGCCCTGTCATGTAAATCCAACCCACAGTGAGAGAATCGAAAGCTAAAGACATAAAGGCAATAAAAAGGTCAACTATACTAGACTGCACTATTACCATTGTCCAAAATCAGCTATTCAAGTGAATAAGCTTTTGTTTTTTGAAAAAAAAAAAATTGGATTAAAGGTCAGCATTTTTATTTGATATCACTACGAAACAAAGTATCACTGTGTGGAAAAACTAAATGTAAGAATGAGTTAGGAGAGCATGAGAGTGTAAGTAACAGGCTAGTGCTGCTGATCCATGAACCAACTAGTGTGAATATTTCAAAGAGAGAGGGTCAGTAGTCGATACAGGAAGAATACCACTAATGATCCTGAAGAAGCAGTTGGTTTGTGAGGGGTTATGAGATTACTTCCTTAGAGTCTGTCCATACAGAAGCAAAGGTCATTCTGGATTAGAAAGCTATCAGGACACCTCTCAAATCTTTCAGGATTTAGCATCCGAGCAAGTTCATCCTGCTGTCAGACAGTGAAATTTCCAAAGAAAAAAAAAAGAAACCAATATGTACATCTTTTACACCCCGGGCTTCAGGAAACATTTAGCATGTTCAAGACACAAAAAGTGTCAGCTTCAAATTCTGTTAGAAATATAGTGGGGGTTTTTTTTTTACTTGTCAAGCTATTTATTCGAAATGCAGAGCCATTTGCCCAAAAATCAAAGAAGATTCCTGGAAAGTTGATAGACCAACGGAGAACTTGAGAACCATTAGATGAAGCAAAGTGTAGAAAAATTTTCAGTTCATGCTATTTTGTAGACAGAAGCTTTGTTCCACAAGGACAAAACTCAGACTCCCTGTGACTGACATCCTGGGCGTTTGATTTATTGCACTCACCCATCCTTCAGAACCTGGGAGCTTTGTTCCAGCAAAATGTCTGTTATTGTTTTTCTGTGGATTTCAAAGCATTTGCAGGTTACGTCCAAAAAATAACAAACTGCCTCCGAATGTGTCATTTTTTTGTGTGTTTTCGCCCTTGTCCCCTTTCTGTTTCTGTACCAGCCCAGGCGTTCTTCCTCCCCACCGCCATGATTATTTACTTTCCATTTCAAATGCTTTAGCCACAAGTCAGGTGTGAGGATGTGCATCGGGCGGGGGCCTCTTCGTCCGTGCATACAGTTTGAATGTGTAAAGGTTTTCTGCATGATTGAATGTGTGAGTAAGGTCCACTTGGCAGCCTCTTGGAGCCTTAAAGGGAAGAAAACACCTGAAAACATTTGACTGATGAAATCATCTCCTCAGTGGTTCCCACTGAACCTTTTGCTGAATTATTCCATGCCATTGTTTTCTCAGAGTTTCAAAGGCGCTAGAAAAAATAAAGGAGTCCGAGTAATTTTTCTCAAATTCAGCCAGTTGCCGTTCCTCTCCCCAGTGCCTCCAGGCACTGTGCAAACACGTGCATTTCCTTCAAGGTACTTCAATTATTTTCTTAATCTTTTTTTCCCGAGCACGCCGGACACATCTCCGCAATCCCAGACAAAGGCTAGTGCACAGTTTCCATATTTCAAATTTGTTTTTTCAAGCCTTAAGTAACAAACATCCAAGATCACAGCAGAGGGATTGAGAGGAGGACAGACAGGCCATTTTACCGAAGTGGAGAAAGACCAAGAAGTCTACGTTAGACTGACAGCAAAGATCAGACCGACGGGTTGTGAGAGCTGACGGAGAGAAAAGATACTGAAGAAAAAATAAAGAATAAAGCTGGAAATATTGGGTTTAGATTCGATACCAGATGTAGTTGCTGTTTGAATTCAAATTGAAAATGATGTCACATAGGATTTTTCATGTTTAACTGCAATAATGAAAAAAAGTGTCAGTTTTAGTACTGTGATGTTTGCTGAAATTTTTTGTTTATTGATTAATTTATTCACTTTGCACTGGATGACACATAAAAATTGGTTATTTTTTAGTTATATTGAGATGAATATACAGAAAACATTTTTTAATGTTTAAAAAAATATTCTGTAACATATAAGAAGTGCCAGAAAGCACAAATTTTGGAGGGAACAAGGCAAAACCCTTTGTTAGCAACGTTCATTTTAGTGAAAGTTATGACACACTGTGACTCACATGACCACGAAATGTCTTCACACATGCACAAGACAGCGTCAGGCTACATCATGTTGTGAATATCATGAGTTGTTTCTCCTGGCTCTGTCTGGAAATACGGACACAGCCTTTTTCATCAGCTACCCTGATTTAGTAGAAGACTTCTGTTCCAATTTTTCAGTTACAAATAGCAATTTATGGTAAATTATCCATTTATTTTCTCCTCAGCAATATGAACCAAAGCAACCAAACAACCTATCAGAAAACAACATTCTAATTAATTCACTTTTGCTATCAAAATTGCCAGTGCTTAGGCTTTCCAAATAGGCATGCTTATCAGTATGAAATCTGAGCACTCTTTATATTAAATCAGGCTCTGGTACACCTTTTTAATTGAAGGCTAATGCTGACACAGACATAATGACTGCATTCGTAATAAGTATTTTGTCACTGGGACTCTCAGGGAATGGCTACAGAGAGCGTCTGTGGCCCCTTTCAATCTGTGCAGTGTTACTTCATTTACATAACAAAGGGCTCACACACAAACTGACATGGACGCCATAAACCGGCCTGTTACCTTGCCTTATTTAACTAATAGGTACAACTCAAATGCCGACCATAACCCAAAATGTTTCAGCACAAAAAATCTTTTTTTTCATCAGCTAATCTAAAATGAGTCAATATAACCAACATATTACAACTATATAGTACGATAACAATGGAAATATGAAATAATATAACACTTTAGCTTCCAATTTTTGTTTTTATACATAATGCTTAACTGGGAGTTCATCAGCACTTTTAAAACACCACTTGACCGAGAATATGAATCGCTGTAACAGAAAATAGAGGTAAAACATATATAGTTTTGTATCACTTTAAATATCAAAGCAGACAAATTATTCAGGACTTAAACCAAATTTGATTGAAGGAATAATTCAAACAGAGGCAGAAAGGCATTGGTGATAGGACTGAAAGTTTTCGCATAGTGAGATTCGTTTAGTAGAATGGTTTTGGATAAAAGAGAATTCCCCCTTCCAATAAAAGACATTTGACACTGTGATGGGAGGAAAACGCACACAGATGCGGAGGCTGCGCAGTCCGGGGCCGCTTCCCTCTCCGGTCGGGGCGGAGCCTGACTAAGCCACGCCCCTTTGACGTCGTAAACTCCAATTGGCGGTCACTCTCCGGCTAAAACACACGCCTACCAAACATCGGACACATATCTACTCCCCCGGTTCGCTCCGTGTCGAACGACCCGTTTCATCATCTTCAGAGAGGCAACACATCCACAGCAGGTGAACTTCTCCGCTCTGGGAGATTTAAGTCATCCCCCCGAAGCCGTGAGTCAGAGCTGCTGGAGCTCCGGGCTGAGACGAGGCTGCTGGAGACAGGAACTGAGAAGACTCCCAGTTAAAGCTGCCGGGCTACTGAAGACAAAGCTCCGCACACTTTTCTAAAGAAACCGGCAACACAAAAAGAAAAAACTTTAGGCTTTTTTTTATTTTCTCCCCACCCAGCGAAGGGTTTTTAAAGATGTCTTACTTTTGAACCCAACCACCGGGAGCTCTGAGGGAAATCCTTCCATCGTCGTCATCACTGACAACAACAAAAAAACACAGACAAAGAAGAAAAGATAAAATACCATGGAGTCGGAAAAGGTAACTACACCCCGCCTCTGCGAGCTTTTTCATTTCTGTCCAACCGGTTACCAATGCGTTTTCACAAAGGTCAACGAGTTCGAGCCCTGAAAGAGCCCTGAACCTCTACATGTGGCCCCGGCCGTGACACAGCTAATTTGTATTTATTCTACTTATGTAATTAATATTTGCGTAGCTTTTTTGCGTTGCTGTAAGGATAAATATATACCCATAAAAAAAAACTTTTAAACTTCCGTTTGAACCACGCCCACAAACGCATCTTCCCAAAAGTTCAAAATATTGTCGTGAAATATTCTTTTCGACCACGTTTTCCGTCGAGAACGTGGGCGTTCGGGGGGAGGGGGCCGGTGGGTCGTGTTTTGGGGATGTTACGCGTCTTTGCCGTAGGTAGTAGGCGGTCTGTTCATGTAACACCACGGCGAGACTGAAGTTGGACCTTCGTGAGCCGGGAGCTTTTTCTCCGTGGAGTTTGCATCCTCCCTGTGCTCCGGGGCTTCTCCCCGCCGTCCATAAACATGGACGTTAGGTCCAAATGGCCATTAGGAGTGAATGTGACTTAGTGGGGAAACGGGACGAGTTGTTGTTCAGTTTACGTTGTTAGTCATGTTATCAGGCAGACTTGAGTAATAACGGTCAAATAAACAAAAAGGGCTACAAATTGTCACTCTTGAGAGACTCACAACAGTCTTTGTTTTCTTTGTTTAATATTTGAAAAATGTCATAAAGTAATAAAACTTATTATATTCAAATTATAATGGCTTAAATAACGTGTAAGAAAGAAAAACAATGTAGTGTTGCAGTTTTGTGTATAAAAACCTTATTTATCAGCTCAAATGTAAGAAAACAGGAAAAATGACAACAGTAGTTCTAGTTCATTTCCCTTTATTGTTTTTCCCCACCAGCAGTTTACATCGATTAGCCTCGCATTTATCACAGAAGAGAAGCTGAAATCTGCACATTTTTGAGATTCTGCATCACAAGCCAACGATCCAAACTGGTGACACTTTGTCAATTTGCTCGATAGATAATCAACCTGCGCTTTGGATTTTGGACCGCCGGTGAGACAAAACAAGATATTTTAAAACAACAACAACATATTTACTTTGTGCTAACATGAAGCAAGTGCATCTCCGGGCTTTAGCTGGAGATCATAATGCTCATTGTCCGCAAAGTAAACATAACTTATCAGCCTGATAACGCTGTCTCCGAGCTGCAGCACTTTGTGGTTCCTATGGAGAAGACTGCTGCCCCCCCCCTCCTCTGATCAATACTCTCATTGCTGTGAGGGATATTAAACCCATAGGAGCAGCAGCGGGCAGCTCGGACTGACACAGTGGTCAGAAAGTGTACCCTGAGCTGTCCCTGTTTTAGTCCCCCCCCCAGGCCCTATGTGTCTATCCCGGCCCAGCAGCTGTGAGATGCTGTCATTGTGGACGTGATGGGAATGGCTCTCCATTTTTAGAGAAAGTCGGAGCCCGCCGAGGGAGTAAGCGGACTCCAGCTTCGGGTGTTGAAGCCTTTAGCTCCCTCTTTGTGTTTTGTTGCTTTCAGGGGGTGCTGAGCTGCCGGTGTGTGCCTGTGGTTGCACGTACGCTAATCAACACCTCGTGATCGGGATTTTCCTATCAGGCGAGCGTTTAGATAGATACTATCACAGTAGCTGGAAACTTTTAATTAATGCAATCACTGAGCGATTACACTGACCAAAAAACGTCTGATATGCTGCAGAGAGTGGATGAGCTCAAGTTTAATGTGTGGACCTGTTGATGTGACGCATGATACTCAGTCCAGGTGGAGCCTACCCGCATTTAAACGCACAAAAACCTTTTCCTTATTAGCTATTTTGATTTAAAGTGTTTCTATTCAAAATTCTGAATACCAAGTTAAGGTTAGACTAGAAACCCTTTCTCAATTTCCCAGATGTGGAATGTAAACTGGGGCCAGACATACAGCTGATGTGCTCTGTTCTAAATTAGACAGCCATCAAACTTCTGATTTAGGACAACTTCATCTGGTTCCTCAGGTTTTCCAAGCCAACAACCTGCGTCACATCGTACAACTGTAATTACAGCAGCCTAACTCCCCCATCAGTGGCCTTTCAGCCCACTGCCAACTCCTGCAGCTTTTAAGACAGCCAGAAGATTTCCTTTATTCTGCATGACTTCCCCTCTTCATTATGTCTGTAATGTAACTGTCAGCCATGACGTTATTGGGCATAATGAGGATTTTTGTACGGAAACTGGGATTAGAAGATTTAGGAGCTTGTAATTGCAGTGAGTGGCGAAACAAAAGTGACATTTATGTCCACTTTTTTTAGTCAGAAGAAGCTGGATAAAACAGAACGTGTCTTTGGATTAGTAGCGGTTGCGTATGGTTAGCTTCTTATGAGGGCAGCGGCCCCTCGAAGGTCCCCGGGGGCTGCGTGCGTGTTGCTGACCGGCTGACCATCACGCTGTTAATTCACCTCTGGAGCCCGTGCTGTGCTCTGTCTTCAGATATTTCTGAAGAAGACTTGTGTTGGGCAACGCTGCACATAGCGTGCAGAGCAGCGGAGAGTGCCCTGACCTTTCCGTCGGGAAGACTTGGCCACCTTTCAGAAGCAGTGTGCCACAGCACAGGTTCATCCCGCCAGCCCCGGTCGGCCCCTTCTAAATCTAAGGATGAGGGACATATTTAAATGTCTGTAAGGCACACGTGACACACAGAGAAGGGGCAATAACTAAACCGAGCTGATATGTTTCCGTAAATATAAACCAGATCTCATATAACTGATGTTCCTTTTTTAGTAGACTTCTTAAAATTCGGTTGCTGACTGTTTAACACCTTTATCGTTTGGATGTGTGAAACAGTGTGAAGTCTCTCTTTGTTATTTTTCTTTAGAAACTTTGTTCCCGATGTGTCCAGAAGTACCGACGCGTAACCTGCTCACTGCTTACAGATTATCCTGTGGTGGGATTTTAAGCACTTTGCCATCATGTGTATTTCTGCTGTTTTTGTCCTCTTTTAAATCTCATTGTTTTGAACTTTTTCCTCATGAAGGGCTGTGGTTTAACCTATGTGTTACCTAAAGACTGCCCTATAGATATCTGTCACAGAATGAAAATCAGCCAACGCCTTCCAAAACACTGAGCACAACTATAAATACATTTTTATCTCCGTCTGGTTGAAGTGTCGCTGGCACCGATAGATAAGACATTGAAGCACTTTTCAGTTGTCTGGCAGCACACGCGGCACATACAGTACAGGTGACACGATGTTCTCTTTAAACGTTTCTCACGATGCTGCAGGCAAAGTTGGCAAATGCCGCATTAAGGTGGTTTTTAAAAAGAAAAAAATGGTCAGTTGGTGGCTCAAATGACTGTAGAGATCACATGATTCTGCCCCTGCAGAGGAATTGAGTCAAAATGTGAACTTGATGCAGACTTAGAGTATTTTTATAACCACACTGAGCACATTAAATCCTGAAAACATCGCTTAACCACGGAAAAAAAAAAGTTTGGGAACTTTCTCAACTGCAGCATAAGATCCTTAGCCCAAAAGTCATTTCAGTGCTTTTAGTTTTCATGTCTTTGAGAGACTGAAAAACACAGACGGCTTCAGTGGGAGCTGTCCTGGGCAGGATGTGCCGTCAGACTGTTGGCTGTCAGGAGGGGGGAGGGCTGCTCTACGCACAGCTGTGTAAGCCGAGCCTGAAGAGCTGACGTGCGGAGGGACGTGATGGCAGCCGTGTAGGCCAGCGCCTCTGATCTGGCGCAGACCAGCACGAGGCAACTGAAAATGTATTTCCGAGGAACTTCCCGTCATGTAGAGATACTGAGCTGCAGCCACTCCTCAGTCAGCTGAACCGGATGGTTGTTCAGCAGCTTTAGGAGTTAGCCACATTATTTCTACATTATTTTCTTAATTCTGTATCGAGTTCAGCTTCATAGAATATTTTGCACTTTTCTAAGGCAGAAGCGATACGATAAAGGACGGTATCTGAGAACATCATCAGGTGCTGAAATAAATGTTAGCTCCCCTGTTACCTGAAAATAAAGTCAGACATAAGGTGATGCAGCTGTTATGATGTAAACATTAGCAAACTTGCAGTGGACATTTAAAGGGGAATTAGGACCATTTACTCCTGACTAGATATTTCACATTAAAGATGCATTTATTCCTCCACTTCTGTTTGTTTGAAAGTGGCCCTCTTTGTTTGTTCCAGTTGAAGGGGCTTCTGTTTGGTTCTTGGCTAACTGATGTTTCCTTTGGGAGACGCCACTCTGACTTTACTGGATGGGTGAAATGTCACTTTTGTTCCTCAAGTGGGTCTCAGATGGAGTGTAATAATACAGATAATGCAGACTCTGCAGAAATGCCAGGAAGTAAATTCATATTTGAATGTACTTTTACTTCTCTATTTATGCTCCAATACATATAATTGGTAGCTTATTAATGGCATAATGTAGAGTGCTGTACAAATTAAATCTATTTTTGTTATTAATAAAGATGATGTATTTCAAGCCTTTTTTATGTATATAAACACTTTTTAGTGCAGACTTATAATTCATTTTGAAGTGGAGCTGGGTAAAGCAGCTCTGTACTTGTCCTCTTTATTATCTTCTTATCTTTATTCTTTTTTTAACCGTAATGCCTCAAATGAGCCCTGATGAGTTTTGTACTCAGCCAAGTTATTTACTATACAACCTTTTTTATCTGTAGGTTGAGGTTATCTTCAGATTGGTGTTAAAGCACGTCAGGCCTTCCTGTTGACAATTTAATTTGTGGCTAAAGCCTGTTTTTGCCGATTTGGCTCGCGGTTGTGCTCCGGTTCACGTCATGTCCCGTCAGCCGGCTTCGTTTGTGTGAGCTTAGGTTACGGTGCTCTTATTTGGCCCTGTGTGTGTGAACACAGAGGGGATTTGCTGAAGGGGACAAGGAATTACACTGAACTGTGAAAAAGGTTTTCACTTTCAGGGGGGAAAAAAGGGCTCCAGATGGTGAGAATGGAGACCAAACGAATCTGAATGACTGAGTCTTGGCCCTGGCATGAAAAGGGAAATGGTGGTTTGTGTGAGTTCAATCTAATTCAGATTGAGCTGCACGCCTACCTCATTTCCTCATTACGCTTTATTGTCATCGTGTACGTGACTGAGAAAAGAAACGTCATGGTAGAAGTTTAACGGTGTGTAAATGTTTGCACAACCCTTCATTATTTTTCAGCATGTTTTTCATCGATAAGGTCTCGCCCATTCGTCAGTGTTTACTGAGTAGGAGCTGAGCAATGGTGGTTTGTTCACTGCAGCCATGACTGAGCAGAACTGTGCTGGTTCAGAGTCCCATCCAAAGGAAGGAAGATTTGCATAGGGTAATTTTTCAAAATAAAGTAAGTCTGTGTGGGCAGGGAGGGGCTGTTCATTAAGTTTGAGCTCATCGTGAGCGCGTGCATGTTGCCGTGAGCAGCTGTGACGAACGATTAGCTAAGCCACTAGCAAACGACAACTCTGTTTGAAAGTGGAAACACACACACACACGGCCGAAAGCCGCTGCTGTATGGATCCGGCCGGGGATGTAGCCCAGACCACAGGGCTGAAGCGGACGATGAGCGGCTGGCGGCCGGGTTCATTGTTGTGATCGTAAAATAGCACTTCTGGGTGTGACTTTATTGTTTTTCCAGCCAGGAAGTTGTGTAATGTGCTGCTCTTCATGTTTTATGTACAAGGAACTAAAAGAATGACCCTCATTCCTTTTTCTGGCATTTTTCAGGAGGAGCCAGAGTTTCCTGATACTTGAGCCAAGCGCCTGTTTTCAGCATTTAGATTTTACATGTTTATGACTGTGTGATAGGCTGGCCTGAAACTATTTGGACTGTATGGATGGAGGCCATGTTAAAGGTCCAGACTTCACAGAAGATGAAGAAAAAACAAGCTTTTCTCAGCTGTTTGCAGCTGGATCCAAACATCCACGTTTCGGGAGGTTTTGTAAACAGGTCCAGCTATTCCCAAAAGGGTTTGGAGCCTAGATGGATTCCAGCGATGGCTTCCCAGAGAGGGCGGGCAGGATTTGGCTGTTTACAGAAAAAAAGAGCAAACAGCTGACAGCTCGCTGAAAGCGCGTGTAGTTTCTTGTTGGTAATAGTGACAGGATGGCGTTTGTTGTGCCCTGTCTCCTAGTCTGCAACGAGGCCCCTTTAAGCACACAATTCTGAAAAGAGCGTGTGTATTTCTGTTTATAGATACAACTAAACAGTGTAGGTATGGACCGAATGACCCTAAAAGAACAGGCCTGGTGTCAGAGTTTCACTTCTTTCCTGGTCCTCCTGTCTGCTGTATCTCCCCAAATCTTTCAGTTTCAGAAGTAGCAAAGGCTACTTCATAAACTGAAAGATATACTCTCATTAAAAGGTAGCTGGCAGCACTTTGGTGATATTCAAAGGGGGAGGCACATAATCCTCTGGACTGTTTACTGTAATGAAGCCCAGTGGGGGGTGTTCGTCTTTGTTCTTCTCTTTTGAAAGTTTGATTTAAATTCCAGACATTTACCTTGAAGCTTTTGGGGAGAAACGATAAAAAGGATTATTTTCTCCTTTGTAAAAGTAATAGCTGAAAACAGCCATACTTATTACACCCACATGAAAAGGGAATGGCTTCATTCTCTCATTCCTCCACATATTCCTTTTAACTTCTCTCAACTCCAGAGTTTTTAACGTCTTAATTGTTTTAAAATAACAACATCTACCAAATGTTTTTCTCTCTGGAAACAGCATAGATTGGACTCAATTAGAAGTGCACGAATGGGACTCCAAATGAGGAATCATGTAGCCTCATGCCTGCTTGACACATATCTGCAGCAGGTTGGTGAAAAGTTGACTGATACCAGCCAACTGGAGTGCCAATGGGTCAGACGTGCAGCCTTCCAGTGCTTCAGGGTCACCTGTAAATACAGCAGTGCCTTTATTTCAGGATATTCACAAGAAACCGTAAACAATAGATTAAAGAAACCTACCAAATTGAATGCGTTTGATCAACTGTTCCAGCTTTCATCAGCTGCAAAGTCTAATTAGCATTAGTTTGAACAGCACTGAGAGATCTAAGTTAGGAGTGACTGTTCTAAACAAGGTAGTAATTGCTAACTATGGAGGAAGCAGACAAATAACCGCTCAGGCCAAACGGTTCCTCAGGTGTTCTTTTTCTTTGGCCATAATGTAATTAATCCTTTTCACCATTTCGAGAAACAGCCGATTGTTCCTGTGGTAAAGCGTGCGAGTAACAAGTTCAGTATTTCACAGCTGGTTCATATTCGGTTTCTGTCACAAACTGGCCCAACGCCAGCGCAGAGGCACGATAAAAACGTTAGTTTTCCCAGTTCCCTAAAACTTTCTTTCACATTGAGATGTCATCATATTAGACATTTTCTCTTTTAAAATGTGTCAGTTTAGACTCTATCATGAAAATGTTTATTAAAGTGTGTTTATTTTAGATGTTTTTTATGGGAACACAAAAATACAAGAAAGCTGACTCACCAGACTGAGGGGCCAGAACGATAAAAGCCTTATGACACATTTATGAAAACAAAGAGTTGAAATCTGAGACTTGAGGGCACATTTTTACCAACAGGGGTGGCTGACAAAACACAGCCCGATCCTTTGGAATTAGATTTCTGCTGAGGAATTTGACATCAGCTGCATGAAGCCCTGACTCCTTGTGTCAACGGGCCTGGCCGGCGATGTTGTTAGAGATGCTTCAGTGGCTCAACATCGGCTGGATAAAGCCCCACAGTCACGTTTGAATTAATTATTTGTCGTGTTCAGAGGGCCAGCTCCATCCTGACGACGGCGTCTGAAACTGCCTAGGTGCCATTCCGGCTTTTATCAGGGCGACAGTCACAAAGGAGGGGAAAACAGATTTGTTTTTTAGGCTGCCGTTTCCTTGTCTGAGAGGCGGAAACAGACAGCGACATACCCCACGATGGTTTATTAACTTCTTGGTATGAGGGTAATCTCGTCTAATCTACGGGCCTCCTCTGACCTCTAGTTTGAAATGAACTCTGTAATAACAGCAAGATGAGCAAAGACAATTTAAACAAGGAAAAAAATAACCGGGGGCAGGTTCACTCTGTGGTACCCAGACAAGATTTAATGGAACCATGAGCCAACCGGGAACTGTTAAAGTCATATATTTACCAATTGAATCTTCAAAGGTTATTCATCTTGAATGACATTTCTTGATGTGACTGGTCATATAATTGAGAAATATACTGTGCCCATAAAAATGTTGTGGTTCAACTTAACATCTAAATCCATCACACCCGTGTCAGCGTTCAGCCTTCGTTCTCCACAGGGACAGCATTGCGCTACACCTAGGCTAAACCAGCAGCAGGCAAACCTCAAACTTCTTGGAAATGAGGAAAATAGTTTCATGCAGCCAATTTTACACATTTAAGCTGAATCATTTGCTCTCATGTGATGATTAGAAACGGCGTTACAGAAATAGAGCATTTCTCAACCCTCCCCGTGGTTTTTTTTTAGGTGTTAGTTTTTAGGTTGTGGGTGTTGCATCATGTCGTGTGGTATGGCTTCTTCTGAACATTTAAGAATATTTCTAACAGCGCTTCATTGTGCACTGAGCGGTACCAAACCTGCTCTGTGATGAAATTTGAGGATAGCCGAACAGATCTTTACAGTTCCGTGTCCCATTGGGCAATGCAGCCACACACTCAGTGCTTTGTCCCAAAAGCTTTAGTCAATAGAGTTCTGTTTGAAAACTGATAGGCTCAGGAGTTTGTTGCCAAATAAACCAGGAAACGTCCTGGTGCCGCTGACCTTGCTGTTTGCACTCCTGCTTTTTTTTTTCACCAGGTGAAAAGGTGAGTAACTGGTTGAACTGGTTTCCTCTGTGATAACTCTGATCTCTGTTCTCTTTCAGAAATTAACCTTCCCGCTGCTGATGAGCGTCGGCACAGCGGTGATTGGCTCCCTGCAGTTCGGCTACAACACCGGTGTCATCAATGCCCCCCAAAAGGTGCGTACAGCGATCAGTCTCTGCATCCATCTACACACATCAGGAGATATCTCAGATAGTAGTCGTACAGGGATAGGTTGTGTAAAGGGGCAAATCATAAACTTCTGGTAATGGAGCAGATTCTTAATTAAAAAAAAAAAAACAGGAAGAGAGGGGGCTGGGTTAAGATGTAAGATTATGTAAGATAATAATAGCCATACCCTAATAAGTCCAAGGACTTCTGAAGTAACAGACTGTTCAAAAGACAGTGTCTGTGCCCAAAAATGGATGTTGCCTAATCCGCAGCTGGCTGGGAACCTGCAATGAAATTTGGGGAGGAATATTGGGGGGGGTAGATAGACTGCGGCCTATCCCCGTAACAAAACAAGATAAATGAACATGTTTTCCTGCGAAGCGGCTCTAAGGTAGGTTTTATTATAGGACAGTTAAGCAGAAACCACCTAATTTCCTGAGGAATGTCCTCCTGTCATCCCGTGTACACAAGCGCTGTCTGCTCAGTGTGGGTTGGTCTGAGCACACCCTGTGGCTACACAGCACACAGGTGGGTTGTCAGACTGGTCGGAGCTTTATGTAACCACACCAACATGCATGGAAGCTTCGGCGAGCCGAACAAAGACTCTCCCTGATCTGTAGTCGTAAATGTTAACTAGCAGGAAAACCGAATTGCTCGAGCATTATCATTACACCCTCAAGGCTATCCTGAGCTTCGATAAGAAGGATCCTGTCTTTTATTATCTGTAAGGGAAATGTAGGAAAAATCTGGAGAAGGGGCCCTCATTGTGAACAGTAGACGCAGAGATTTATGTCAGAGAAAAGTTAAACCATCATTTCTTAGCTTCTAAAGGAAATAAATAGATGAAACAGGCAAAAACAAGTATAATTTAATCTTGTGTTGCATCCGATCTTGATTGGTAAAACTGACAAAAATACGAGAAAACAAAATATAGAAGCTCTCCAAAGTGGAAAAAAACATTCAAAAGCATGGCTCATACATTGTAGAACATAAACTACTACAGGTGTCTGTAGCCCAAACTGGGGCACAAAACTGGAAAAATAACAGTCAAATCACAAAATGTGAAAAAAGTGAGTGACACAGTTGAGGGTTTTTGGCTGGATCAGTTTCACCTTGAGCACCACTGCTGTCTGAGGACTTTTCTGCACGACAACAGCAGCATGTGCTCACCTCCATGCTCAGACACAGAGTCCCTTATGTGGGAATGCGCACACCATGAATATGTGCTCTGTTTCATACCAAGCTGGCTTCAACCTGTCCCCCGGACCCTTAGCACTCCGCTCAGCAGAAGTCTCATCCACCCAAAAACGTCAACCCACTAGAAGAAGCAGTGGTTCAATCCAGTGGGGCTTTCATTTCACTCAAACCCACAGATTCAGCCGGATTATCACCAGAGCCTCTTTCCTGTGTTCCTCCGCGTGCGATAAAGGCTGCCCTGATGCTGCTGCTGCCGGTGACGCAGACCTTGTGCCGTGTTTGTGATTAGATACAGTCTTTCAAGGGCTTTGTTCCGGTTGTACTGTCCTTCCCTCCTTTCTCCTCTTGCTTGTGTTCCTGTTCAGCCCTCTATATGATACCGCCTTGTTTAAGGTTTACCTCGCTCATCTGTGGCCTGTTGGTAGTCTAATCTGGGGGCGCTTCCCGTGCAACAAAAAGGTTTTCTACACACATTTCGTAGGTGCATGTATTTTAGCGGTATGCATAAATGGCATGCATCTTGTGTGAGGCGCTTACTCTGACCACACACACTGTGGCCGAACTGGCAACATGGAGAGACTTTTTTCCCAATTGTTTCAGGTAATACAGGCGACATTTTGCGTTTCAGATCTTTAATGAAAGCAGAAAAGGAATTTGTGGCAGGAAAAGAGACGTTTTGGGTCAAAACTACATAATTAGTTGAATGATTACTGATCAATGAACTCGGAAACTCGTATAGTAGACCACGGTTAAATATTCCTTTGTTTGACACTGAGGTCTTTCTCCCCACTTTACTGAAATAGGGAGCAGTAAAACATTTTAATCTGGCATCATCATGATCGGAAAAAAAAAAAAAAAAAATCTGGTCTTTTTATAGCCAGGCCGGCTTTAAAGGGTAGATGTGGTGGGATGAAGGTCAGAATCGTGGTACAGTGTTTGATAACATACTTCTGCTATCACCGAGGTCTTGTGAGTGTAAGTTGATAGTGGCTGTGACCCAGGCTGTGTGGTCACAGTGTCAGAGAGTCTGTGTGTCCCTCCGCATTAGAAAAGCCCTTGACAAGCGGTCGGCCTCGAGGTCTGACTGCTTGATTGGGACACCGCTGAGTGTGTCATTCCACTCGCTCTGGGTGGGCACCAGCGCATCCAGATCTGTGGGCCGAGACGTTTCACAAAACAGGCGCACATGACGGAACCAGACTGAACATTTGGTAATTAAATCGGCCGGGCTCTGGGGGTTAGGGGTGGGGGTGGGGGTGGGCGTATTGGAGGTGGCCAGCTGGGAGCTGACCTTTCCCAGCCGTACGCGCGGTGTCACCATGACGCGCACATAAACACACGCAGGCGTGGCCGCTTCAGGCCCGTCACCAGCCTCCCCGGGCGTATTTGTCAACACGGCAGTGTGTGACAGGGCGGGGGGGGAGGGGAACCGAAACCAGACACCTAACTGCGACTGGTAATCTTCCCACTTTATTCAGGAAGTGGAATAGGCTCACGAGTAAGCTGTGCTGCCATCAGCTGGCCACAGCTCTGCCAGTCCCCTGTGCTGGGAACCAGGGGAACACGACGGGACGAACCCGCACTCTTAAAATGTTCTGAATTTGAACTGTGGTTATGTTTTGGTGTTAGTTTTTAGTTAGTTTCTAGAACTTGTTTTATAAAGCAGCTTCAGTACAGATCTGATATGTGTTTGTGTGATAACGCCACATTGTGAGTCATGTTTTTTTTTCTTTCTTTTTGGACAGATCATTGAGAACTTCATCAATGTGACGTATGAGGCGCGCTACCAGGAGCCCATTAGCAAAAGCGCCCTCACCGCCATCTGGTCCATCGCCGTGTCGATCTTCTCTGTCGGCGGCATCATCGGTTCATTTTCTGTCGGACTCTTTGTCAACCGCCTGGGAAGGTAGGCAGTCCCAAAAAAATCCCTCTTAACATGGCATTTTCTCAGTTAAATGTTTAGTTTTTTTTTTATACCATAAAAATGAACCAGTGGATTATTTTAATTCCTCTCGTATCTGCAGGAGGAACTCCATGCTCATGGCCAACATTCTGGCCTTCATCGCATCCGCCATGATGGGCTTTTCAAAGATGGCGAACTCCTGGGAAATGCTCATCATTGGTCGCTTTGTGGTTGGCCTCTACTCCGGCTTATCCACCGGCTTTGTACCCATGTATGTGGGGGAGGTCTCCCCCACATCCATGAGAGGTGCCCTGGGCACCCTGCACCAGCTGGGCATTGTGCTTGGCATCCTCATCGCACAGGTTGGTTGATTTTTCACACAATTTTAGAGACACACGTGAGGTGTAGGGGACCGTATGAGTGCTCATTGTCTCTGGGTTGATCTCTAGGTGTTTGGAATGGAGATGATCATGGGAAACAGCGAATTGTGGCCCCTCCTCTTGAGCTTTATCTTCATTCCAGCCATACTTCAGTGCATCCTGCTGCCTTTGTGCCCAGAGAGTCCTCGTTTCCTGCTAATCAACAAGAACGAAGAGAACAAGGCCAAGACTGGTAGGTTCAAACACAAAGACATAGACATAGACACTATTTAAATATAGTTATTGTTTTAAGAAAAAATATTTTGAGTATTATTATTTAATCTTATAATGATCTGTATCAATTATAAGTTATGATTTGTTATAATTCTAACAAAAATTGTATGTGATTTTTAAAAATTGGTTTTAAAAATCCCCCCCAACCCCCACCTCAAAAATATCCAATATATCTGTTTTATTTACTTTTACAAAGTTTTACAAAAATATTTCATCATCAGAAGCCGTGTGCCAATATGTGTGTTTTTTTCACACTTTACAGTTCTAAAGAAGCTGCGAGGCACCACAGATGTGAGCGCCGACATGCAGGAGATGAAGGAAGAGAGCCGGCAGATGATGAGAGAGAAGAAAGTGAACATCCTGGAGCTTTTCCGCTCGTCGCTCTACCGCCAGCCCATCATGATCGCCGTCATGCTGCAGCTCTCCCAGCAGCTGTCCGGCATCAATGCTGTGGGTTTTCTCTGTTCAGAGCACAACAACATTCAGAGAATGTGCCCATTTTTTACAAGCTACAGTAGAAACAGCATAAGAGAATCAGTGTTTATCAAAATGTCAAACTCTCTTTGCTGTTTTTATTTGTATTTTTGTAGATCTTCTACTACTCTACACGCATCTTTGAAAAGGCTGGGGTGGCGCAGCCTGTCTATGCCACCATCGGAGCCGGTGTGGTTAACACTGCTTTCACTGTTGTGTCTGTAAGTAATGCGTCAGTATTTATTAGTACGAGCTAATGTCTAGGCTAAATCCCTCCCTCTCACCTTTGTTTATCTGGTGCTTTGCAGCTCTTTGTTGTAGAGCGTGCCGGGCGGCGGTCTTTGCACCTCCTGGGGCTGCTGGGAATGGCAGGATCTGCCATCCTGATGACCATCGCCTTGGCTCTGCTGGTAGGTGTATCGCACACAAACACAAGCCTCAAAGTCTTGTTATGGATTTGCGACATGCTGAGCCTTGTGTTGTTTTCTCCTGCTTTCCTGTAGGAGAAACTCAAATGGATGTCCTATTTGAGCATCGTGGCCATTTTTTCCTTTGTCGCCTTCTTTGAGATTGGACCGGGTCCCATCCCGTGGTTTATCGTGGCAGAGTTGTTCTCACAGGGACCCAGGCCTTCAGCCATGGCAGTAGCTGGTTTTTCCAACTGGACGGCCAACTTCATAGTGGGAATGGGCTTCCAGTATGTCGAGGTGAGTGGAGCCAAACAAACACACAGCGCCTTTTGATTTTTTTTGGGTTGTGTTTTCCCATCAGAAGCCAGGTACAAAAGAAAAACCCACGTGGAAATTTATGATGCGAGCCCTCTAAAAAGCAACCCACAAACACAAATCAAAGTGCTCCTGCCTGCACCAATGCATTTGCAGTGTTAAGTACAATGCATCCATGCAAAATAGAGAATGGCACAAAGGCTGCAGCCAGTCTTATGCATGAACAAATCTTATGCAGAGACGTGCGACAGAGTGGAATAAAAATATTTGCTGAGATTATGATTGTAACATGTGAAGATGAAGGTCTCCTGTGTGCTCTTGCTCTGCCGTCTGTCTTTGGGATGCAAATGCACGCTGCAAAATAACAACTGCTTTTTTCTCTCGTTTCACAGGAGCTGTGTGGTCCCTACGTGTTTGTCATTTTCACCATCCTGCTGCTCTTCTTCTTCGTCTTCACTTACTTCAAAGTGCCAGAGACGAGGGGCCGGACGTTCGACGACATTGCCGCCGGGTTCCGCCAGACGTCGGCCGGGGGGGCAGTGAAGCACTCGCCGGAGGAGCTCAACAGCCTCGGAGCTGATTCGCAGCTCTGAGCGCCTTTAAACTCTCCAACAAACTCTCACAGAGAAAACAAAACAAACACTCTGTCACCACATTTCTGGTGTTGTCACTGAGCACAGAGCAAACCTGTATGATCCTCCGACGTGGCGCCTTCTGTTCCTCCTCTCGTTTCGGGAGAAGAAACAAGAACTCAGCGGGGCAAATGCCGATAGGGTAGTTGAAGATAGACGGGGAGCGTTTTTATTATTCTATAGATCCAACCAGCCTTTTTTAAAGACTTTTTCCACTGAATATTATGTGCGTGTTATACTGTAATGCTATCACTGTAGACTGTAATGCCAACACTGAACTCTGTAGATGCTGCACAGCTCCGACATCTGTCCACCAGATGGGGCACTGCCTTTACAAAAGATGTACCACATAGAAACAATGTGAACAATCATACATATGTATAAACATATGTGTGAATGTGTGTGTGTATGTGTGTATACAGAACGTATACTGGTTACATATGTTTGATTCGAATGGCCGTCAAAAATCTTGATGCTCATTTTATCATCTTAGCATCATTTTTGGTTTCAAAAGACATTTCATAGGTCAAATTGAATTTTAACAAACATGCATGAGAGTCCACCATTCCTTTGTTTTTTTATTTGTTTTTATTTCACACCATTCCTCTTTTACACGCACTGATGGTCGTGTGGATTTGGGACTCTGTAGATCTGCACAGGTCAGCAACAAACTGCCGAACCTGTCAGCGAAAACCGGTTTTAAATAAAACGTCTGAATTTTACCATGATACTAGCGCCCGCTTACAAGGAGCTGCCACAAAGCCAAAAACATGTCTCACAAAAGCCTGGATGTTTGCGAGTGCAAGTGCCTTCCTGAAGCAATCCGGCCACCCCAGCCTTTCGCTGCTATCACTGTGGACTGGTCTCCGGTCAGACCGGCCCGAACCAGACTTGAAGCTTCAGTCAGAGGAGGATCTTCAGTCTCGAGGCTTCCGGCGGATCTTTTAGGGTCCGACGCTTTGGCTCGAGGAGCCGCATTGGTCATTTCACACAGTCAGGAGCTGGTCCTGTGTGGCGATGCACGAAAAAAGAAATCACGTGGACCAAAATGAATGTCAGCCTTGTGGAGGATTTTTCACTATCCTGAAGGTTTTTCTTGTTCGATATCCCAGCAGTCTTTGCAACCCCGGTGGACTCCTCTGACTGGGATTGCTAGGGTTGTGCTCTGCTTTCAGTACTGAACTCCGCAGTATAATGTAGTTTGCATTCTCTTGTGGTTATGTCCTATACTTTGCTCACGTCCTGTTGATAAAAAAACAAAACAAAAAAACTTTGCCATTCTCTACACGTCGCTGTCTGTTTCTGCTGTATTCTTTGTTGAAGTTTTCTTCTCATCATTGAGTTATCTTTTCAGCTGCACTTTATTATTATTAGTAATGTTTTTTTTAAACAAACACAAGTGGATTCATTTGTCTTTCTAGTCACTTTGCAAGTGCCTGAGATGAGACTGCAGAACTGTGTGTAAATCCGTGCAGATCTGTGATGTATGTTACATGGAATGAAGTCGATATGGCAAGATTGACATTGATTCAAATTCAGCAAAAGAAGGCAATTTTGTTTTAATCATTCCAGGATTTCTTGTTAGTTATATATATATTTTGTGTTTATTGAAAGGCAGAACTTTGCATTGTAACATCCACTCTCTTTGCTTTCTGTGTGGCTATCACAACATTCACCAGCAAAATCAGAAGTCTCACTACAAAAGATATACTAACCCACACAGACTGACATCTATTGATAATATTAAAACTGTATTTATGTATATAGAGTTACATATTTGTGTGGGCATTGATTTCTGTAAGTCACTTGTCGGGTTTCATGATCCCAGTTGGTGATTGAAACGATGAAGATGTAATAAATGTGAAAAACACATTTGCTAAACACATAACTATATCCATAATTACATACTAAATATATAAACATATGGATTCAATTTTTTATTTCGTAGATAAATTATTAATAGTTTAGGCTCGTGTGAGGTGGTCTGACACCTTGCTTTAGGATATTGGAGTTGTAGTGTGCTAACGTGATTTTATGGAAAATGTGTAAAGAGTATTGTTACATTTTAAGTGCACAAAACATTGTACGGTTTGTAATTAAAAGAAAATGTGTGTAGCGTGGGAATTTGAAACTGTTGGGATGTCATGATTGAGAATGATACTGTAAGTCACTCGTGAAAGTTTTATTAAACTAATTAAAGAAATCATATATTCAAGTCTAAACATTTTTTGGTGAGGGTGCAGGGGTACAGTTGTGTCTTTTCTTAGAGAAATTTGTAATTTGAGTTTGAGGGAAGTACAGAGTGGGATGGTCACTGTATGACCAAGATAGAAACCAAAAAACATTAGAAAAATCTGTAATTGATCTAATTCCTTCTGAAATGTTTCCTTATGTTCTCTGTCTTTCAATATTCTCGTCAGTGTTGTACAAACTGCTGGTGCTGTGGTCCAGGATGTCATTTAGCTGAATGAGAACTAATGCAATTCCTTTAGCATGGACAACAAATTAAAATCAAAACAAAAAAAAGTAAGGCCGACACTGGCTCAACAGTTTCTGTTTCACAAAGAATGAAACGATCTTATAAAGATCAACAACACATTTTCCTTTCGTAAAAATACGGTGTCAATAATTAGGCCCACTCCTTCTGATCAGCTTGTGAGCGTTATGAAAATAATTCCGTAATCCGATAGATCTTCCTTTGCGGATAGGCTTCATTCAGCCCCTCTCCATCTCTGTCCTTTTGTCTAACATATTCCTACGAGTTTCCAAAGGATTACGGTGAATATCAGGTGTCCAAACAGCAGTTCGCAAGCAAACAGCAAATTTCATGGATACACACACTGGGGAGGCGGGTTATTCTCCACAGGGACAAACACTTTTGTCCATGTTGGTAATCTCTTTTTAACTCAGAAACATTGACGCAAAAAGGCTCTATTTTAAGATTTATATCGGTAACCATGACCGAACCAAGTACCACATTTCTGTTCTGCTTTCTTAATTAATATTTCATCCCCAGTAGAAACACTGCGTGAACCAAACCCCACAGTGATTACATTTAAATAGATAATGGAATAATTGTAAAAGTTATATTGAGAGAAAAAGCTTAACGTCGAAGAAACACTTTATTTTATTCTGACTGACAAGATCTGATTCACTTATCTCAGAGATGTCTTTAAAGATGGAGAGCTCAGATATGAGAGAATCTTTCCAGACACCATATCGTCTGTGTCCTCTGTTGGGGATGCAAAACAAAGTTGGATGTTTTTCTTGATTTTCAACACAACAGACATGACACCGGCGACACAAAATGCTTAATTTAGTTGACCTCATTTGTACCAAAGCCTGTTAATTGTCTGGCGTTTCCTAGGAATAAAAAGAAACGGAGCCACCGATAACCTCCACAGATGACTTCAGGATTAATGAGATAAAGCCCGTCGTCACCTGAGCCGTGCTTCTTTTCAGCTTTTGTCCTCCAGCTGTGTATAATGGATCGGTGCATCACCTCCGTTGTGCACCTTTTCATTAACATCTGTTCAATTGCGACACTCGAAGCTGTTATTATATGTTAATAGTATTTTTTTTCTCTCTCCAGAGCAGCACACGAGCAAAACATTAAAGTGCAATTTCTATTCATCATCTGTGACCTTTATGGTTTAAACTGTTTTCAGAAGGTCCTTAAAAAAGCACAGAGCGAGTGACCAAAGCACATTTTGAAGTCCTGGCCCCGTTCCTGTGAATTTTAAACGCATCTCAAGGTTGCAGAGAGCCGTACACGCGGCTGATGAGATGCAGGAGAGGCCCTGGAAAGTACGAGCATTTGAATATGTTTGATCATGTCCTGCCCTGTGAGAGATTACAGCAGACACAGCAAGAACCTCCAGGTGGAACAAAAGCAATGCACGGGATCCACCGTGTAGCTTCAGTCTCTCCCTCTGCCGATACGCTGAACATGGGAATCTGCCTTCCTCTTTGAAGGATGACATCAATCATTTCAGAACATGAAGAAGACTGTGGCCACACTTTTCCCTGATTTCAGGGAGAGAGGAGGGATAGAACCCCACTGGGGTTAATATACATTGTCCACAAGGTTAATTGATGCCTTATTAAGCAAATTCACACTATTTCCATACATTGATTTATTGATTTGTAATTGTTTTGACCAGTGTGTGTCTTTACCATCTGCGTTAATCTATAATCCCTCTTCCTATGACTGCTCCTGTGCCATAAAACACGACTTTCTGGATAAAAATGGACTTGCATTTTTTTCAATATGCTTATCGCCCCTTACAGCAGGGATGTATCCCAACCTATAAGGTAAAAGCCAGAGGAAAGTTGGACTATAATGCTAAAGCCTTGAAACAGAAGCTCTGATGGATGTAACCGTGCGGCTAATCCGTTTCATGCAGCTCGGGCTGATGTTTTATACATTCTGTTTCTGTTTTATCTACATATTTACACGCTGAATGCTGCAAACCTGCCGCTCGCAGAGAGGATTTAACTGACGATAAAGGTGAGACACAGAGCAAATCAGTTCATACATTTTGATGAGATGAGATTTACATAGAGAAGCATGACTGCAGACCAACAGTCAGTCCAGACGTGTAAGTACATTCAAGTTGATGACGGACTGTCTGTGTGGCCGTTCTCTCTATATCAAACTGTTGAGAAAACCTAACTGGAGTCAGAAAATGAGCATCTGTAAATCTAGAAGGTAAAGCAAGATCTATGATTTGTCAACTGGTTTGGATGAGAGGATTGACCCCTATTTACCCGGGGGCGCAATTCTCGGCAACCAGCATTTAGAGTGGATGTTTCCCTGGAGAACCAACATCAAATAGGTTGATTTTGACAGGTGTCTGTGGATCCTTTCCCTGGAGAAATAAACACTATGGAGAGGGGCAAATCTGAACAGGAAGGAAAATTCTGGGAGTTGAAATAAAACCAACAGCAGCGGCCGAAAGACTGATTGGCTGGCAAGATGGAAGTATAGTAATTTTGCTCGGAGCGTGTTGCTCGACAGAGATGAACTCCTTCCTTAAACCTTCCAAACCTAACATTCCTGTGCAGGGTCCAGAGTCTACCAACTAAAAATCTGACACCGTTTCTTTTAGGGCAGATGATATTGTCACATTCACGGCACCATTAAGACGAAAATAGATGAAATACGAAACATTATTTCTCATTACAGTGGCAAAAATGTTTGGATATGCTGCTACTTAATAATAAGTTCTATGTTATCAGTATGGTGCTACACACAATACAATTAATATTTTTGTTTAAAAATAATATCTAAGATTTTCCTGATTAATTCAAACTTGTTCGGGATAGAATAGATTAGAAAATTGTGCATGGAGCCTGAGGTTGTTTGTTATGTTATTTCCATGTATCACATTGACACCGTGCTCCAAATCAAACGCATAGTTTAAGTTAAAATGCAATATTTGCACAGCAAGCATCACCCTCTTGGACAGTGTCTTGACGTTTCACATGCGGTCAATCTGACGACCACTAGAGGTCAGAAATTTGAAGTTCAACGTGTTGCATCTGCGAGAAGAAATCCAGCCATCCATTCATTATCCACACAGCTTATTCCTTCATAGGGTCACAGGGCAGCTAACTTTTGGGTGAGAGGTGTTCAAAACCCTGGGCAGGTTGCCAGTCCATCAGAGGGACACACAGACACGAACAACCACGCGCACACACTCACACACACAGCCCTACGGGCAATTTAAGAGTCTTCCATTAACCTGAAAAAGGAATGTTTTTGGACTGTGGGAGGAAGAGAGAAACATATGCGCACACAGGTAGGAAGTGCAAACTCCACACGAAAAGGCCACCAGTCCCCCGGGGACTCAAGCCAGGAACTTTCTTGCTGTGAGGGGACGTTGCTAACCACCATGCCACCCCGGGAAAAGAAACGTGTTGCTGAAAGTGTTCTGAGTGAAGTGCTGTAACCGAGAAGTTAACAAGAAATAAGATAGTTATAACTGCTTATTTGGTTCCGCCCAGTTAAGGAGATTAAACAATGAAGTAAATTATATTTCTCTGCTGACACACTTAGCAGGAGGTCAGAGGAAAACTTCAGCAGGGTTGTGAACACCATCCCTTTTCTTCACAATAACATATTCATTCCTGTTTTATGTCCTGTGATCAATGGTTCTTGCTTCAAGAAGTAATTTTCTGATATGAAAGAATTAATTTTACAACTGTCTAAAAGTTTTTTTTTGCTTAGGTTTTCTTTGCTCTTTTTGTAAAATGATTTTACTTTTTATATACATTTTTCATTTTCATTATTTCATGCTTTACTAGCTGTAAAAGAAGGCACTGAAATCTACATTGAATCTTTTATCGTGCACATCTCCCTTGACAAAACTGTGTGCTAAGTTCATATTACAGTTTCTGCAGTTTGTGCTGCACAGTAATTCCAACATTTAACCATTCTAACATTATCATTCAGCCAATGAGTGAATCAACTAATAATTATAATGACATTCCCCTTATTTTTCAGGTGGAAAAGTACGGAAATGGCATTTACGATTTTTTTATATTTAAACTTTATTTAAATCTATTGTCGTTTATGAATTTGGTATAAGTAATATTATGACCAATGACTAAAGAATGACTCAAAGAGATAATCCAACATGATCAGACATAGGAGGCAGAAAGAATGACGCACCAACAGTAAATATCACCACTCCACAACAGGAGCGGAGCCCTCCTGTTGTTTTTGTCATCACTGAGCCTGTGGTGTGCTCATTAGTAGTGTGCCCCTGGTGATTATGACATCTCTGAACCTTCTCCCCCATCTCTCTCCTCATTTTTCACCACAGGTGCCGTCTGGGACACACTGAAAATGTTTTCATTGTGTTCACAGTGGTATTTTTTTTTCATTTTCATTTTATTGACACGAGTTGAAGTACTTCAACAGCAACATTTCACCAAGCCAAAGTTTAAAACCACAGTTTGGAGGCAATGTTGAAAGCTTTGGAAGAAATCTCGGGAGATTACCATGAACGCACCGTGGTGTTCTGTTTATAGCTCTTCTCTTTCTGTGTTGTGCTACTACCTTTCATCGGTGACGTTTTCTCCTCAACGCGTCTGGATTAGGGGGGGTTTATTCAAGGCATTGCTTTCCTTTCGGAAAGCTCAATCAGCTGCTCCCTCATGAACAACTCTGTTGTTGACATAAATGCTAAGCATCACAGATGTTGCGCGCAGAAATCCCTTCAGCATCCAAACAAGCATTAAGGAGGAAGGAGAAGAAAAAGAAACAAACAGAAAATAGTAGCAGATTTCACGAAGGCT